ATTCAATTGTGCTGTTTATATTTAAACGTCAGAACATTTTGTATTTGACCAGACGGATGTTTAAAGTAAACCTTTCAGATTTATAAACACGAACTCATTATATTGATATTTGAACATATATATTTACATCTACATTTGGCTAAATGTGTGGCTTTTTCGGCCCGATAGTTTGACGAAAATATTTTTGAAATTGTGCCACATACATGCAAATTAATATATACACTGTACATACATATATATAATGAAGTAATTACATTCTCGTTTATAAAATATGTGGCAACCGAATGCCAAGATCTGCTCGCATACTGAATATTTGTAGAGGAGTAAATTATTAATTATTTATAAAATTTCCATTTGTAGTTGTTGGGGTTCTATATTTTACTAATTTTGTTTATATATGTACATATATAATACAATATATAAATATGACTAAGAAATTGAATTGGCACTCGTATACTGGGTTTATATACTGTTAAAATTTCCAAAAAAATATACTGAAAATAAATAAAGAGTTATTTGAAATTTTTAAAAATACATCGATTTTCCAAAGAGTTCAAGTTTGCGAAATAAATGCCTATGCAACAGAGACATAAACGCATTGCTTTTGTTATTATTCTTAAAAGTAATTTTTTTCTTAAATAACCCAGCTTAAAGAGGTGTGATCTGGAAGATTTTACCTAACAATTTCGTTTACACATATAAATCTAAATAATATTCAACAAGTGGCAAATGTGACAGCATCTTCTGGGCATGCATAAAATACGCTCATTATTCAAATGCTCATACATACTTATATTATAACATATAAACATACGTTTAACGATATGTACGTGTATGTATATATTTATTTATGCATCTCACCCAACATATTTGAAAACACAAGAAAAAAGCCAAAAAAAAAATCAAATAATATATTTGTTTTGTTAAATAAATAGCAAATTTGCCATTATATATACATATAAGCGTATGTTATAAACATTTATATAGGTGAATGTGATATGTGTAAAACCATTTTATTTGCCACCATTTATTTAAATTATGCCGACACGCTGCTATTTCACATTTATTTATACAAACAAATGTCTGTACGAATGCACATGTTTGCGGGAAATAAATATTTGTAAATGTATGCGTGCAAATTCACATTCATACTTTTGTAATGTACGCACATTTACATAAATGCATATATATGCTCATATGACATGTTGAGTCGACGATTTCTAAGCGTAAAATGTAGTGACATATTTTACGCATAAATGGCGCTTCTAAATGCACACACACACCTTTATTTACTTAGTTATTTTAAGCGGAACGGGATGTTGGCATATAAGTGTATTTATATATATATTTTGCATTTAAAAACCACAAAAAAGAAAAAATAAATAAAAAAAATAAAATAAATAAAAAGAATTAAATAGAAAAATAAAATACTTCGACATAAAATAAAAAAAGTAAATAAAAAAAGGAATAATTAAGGAAAACAAAATTATATATACATGTACCAAAATATTATAAAACATATATGTTAAAATGATAAAAAATGAATTGACATAACAAAAAATAAGTAAAACAAAATAAAATAGAACTGAAAAAATAAATAAAAAAAAATTAAGAAAAAAATAAAATAATGTAAAAAAAAAATTAAATAAAGTTAAAATTAATAAAATAACATAATAAAACAAACAAAAACCTTAAACTATATAAAAATAAAATAAAGTAAAAAAAAGAAATAATACTAATTTAAAAATTATATAATATAATAAAATTAAAAAAATAACACAAAATAATAAAACAACGTTAAAATCAAAAAAAATTAAACATAATCAAAAAAAAACATAATAAAATACAAGAAAAAAATAAAATAACATAAATTTAAAAAAATTAAACAAATTAATTAAATTGAAATAAAATTAAAATAAAAAAAAACAAAATTATATAAAATGAAACAATATAGAATAAAATGAAATAAAACAAAATATAATTAGATATTACAAAAAAAAATAAATAAAATGGAATTAAATTAAACATATCAACGTAAAAAAAATAACCTTAAAAAAATAAATTAAATAAAATTAATTAAATTAATAAAATTTAATATCTTCAATTTACAAAAATAACATAAAATGAAATAAAAAAAAATTAAATAAAATAAATAAAATAAGAAAATAAAATATATTAAAATAAAATAAATAAAGTAATATAAAAAATTAAATAACAAATAAAAAAAAAAATAAATAAATAAAATAAAGTAAAAGAAAGCTAACCAAATAAATTAAAATTAATTACTATGAAAAAAATTAATAGAGCAAAATGAAATAAAATAAAATGAATTCAATAAGATAGAATAAAATAAAACTGCATGAAATAAAATAAGCAGAAAAACTTGAATTAAATTTAATTTAAAAAAATCAAAATATAATAAAAAATATTAAGTAACCAAAAAAAATAAAATTGAGGAAAATAGCATAAAAAAATAAAATAAAAAAACCAAAATACAATAAAATAAAACGAATAAAAATTGAAATAAAATCAATTCAATAAAATGATATAAAATTAAAAAAAGAAAAATAAAGTAAAATTAAAAAAAAATATATATAAAATAAAAAAAAATACAATATAATAAAATTGAATTAATCAAAATAAAGTGAAATAATAAAACATAAATTAAAATAATAAAAAATTAAATATAATAAATTAAAATAAATTTTAAAAAGGTAAAATAAATTCAAAGAAAATAAAATAAAACAAATGAAATTCAATAAAAATAAAAAGCTAAGTAAAATAATAATATTCATAAATTTAAAAATAAAATAAATTGTTATAAAATAAATGGAAATTAACTACAGTTAAAAGAAAATTAAGTAAAACAAAATAATATATACCAAAAAATGTAATAAAATAATAAGCCAATTAAATTAACATGAAAAAAGTGAAATGAAGTAAAATGAAATGAAATGACTTAAATAGATTAAGAAAGTAAAATAAAATGAAAGAAAATAAAGTAAATTAAAATAAAGTGAATAAAAAAACAAAACAAAGTAAACTAAAACAATTACATAATAAGATATTATGAAAAGAATTGAAAAAAAAGAATTGAATATGAAATATAAAAAAATTAGATACAAATTAAATGAATATAAATAAATTAAGAAAAAAAGGAAATACTATAAAAAGTTGAAGTAAAATGATATGAACAGAATAAAAAATGTAAATAGATTAGAAATACAAAATAAAAATGAAATGAAAAAAAGAATAAAATAATATAAAAATAAGGCAAAATAAAATAAAAAAAATAAAATAAAATAAAATAAAATAAAATAAAATAAGGCAAAATAAAATTAAATTAAATTTATAAAAGGGAGGAATGAAAGTTCGCAACGTGCATATGTTGAGAGATTTTAAATTTATTCTTGACTTGGTTGCTTGCTCATCAAATCATTGGCAATGAACAGAGTCAATATTTGTTATATAAATATGTATGCACTGTTGTCAGTATCATTGTCACTTTTGCTTGTTAACAACCATTAAAATGTTGCAATTAATTATGTCGTTATACGAACGCAGTGAGGAGCTAAAATGTCACAAAAAGTCAATTACAAATTTTTGTAACGAAATTGTTTTGTTTAAGCGTTTAAAGTATGAGGTAATTGTTTAATTTCACTTTTACGGTCTTTAGTGCAATATTCATTTTTCATTTTTATTAATTTTTACAAACTTTTTACGTAAAATCTCCTTGGGTAAAGAAATGTCACCGCAACCGACGCCTTGTGTAATTAATTTGATTTACGTTCTAATTGCAGCTGAGAGCTGGCCTGAGATGAAAAGGGTACAAGTCAGCCAAAGTTAGATATGTATTTAATAAAAAAAACGAACAAGAAGCAGAAGTGAAATAAAGTGTGTTAAAGTGGTATGTGCTGATCTAAAGACAGCGGGTTTTTAAAAAGCAAGGAGGTAATGCATAATGAAAACCTATGCAGGCAGAGAATTACAAATATCGAAGAGAAAGTCAAGTGAAAAAAACAGTATTTACGCGAACGGCTGGAAAGTTTTAATTAGCGCCGGGGCGTATAAGTAACTTTGTAAGTGACATTAATGTCTTGGTTGCTGTGCCCTGACGCACTGGGCGGATGCAATTTGCGTGCCACGGAGTGGAATTTAAATTTTTTTTGTACACTATGCCCCACCTAACTGACACCGGGGGTGCCAGTGATGCATAGCTGATTAAATACAAAACCGAAGTAAAGTAGAGTGAAACTGGAAAAAAATAAATAATTTTCGCTTAAAATCAAAGCCTATAAAAGCGATAATGAACAAATGACCTCTACGGATAAGGGGTTCAAGAATTTACCCCCTGTAAGACATGCTTATCGTAAGAGTCGACTTAAATTCAATAGTTCCCGCCACAGTCGGGTCGACACGGACTTTTAGCCGGCCAAAGTCTGTCACTCCCGCGGTATTCCTTGAAAACTAATTTGGAGAATTTTTTTTTTTTTTTGCAATTACTACAACAACTACAACAACAACATGAATATATGATTATTGCGCACCGCGACCATTGGTCTGTTCAGTCCCGCATACGGCTATATAAAGAAATAGGAAAAGTTATAGATACACCTCGGCATACTTGTCTAATGTATAATAAAAAAAAAACTCCGCGCAAACGAAGCAGTCGGCTACCATAGGTTGCATTCCATAAATCTCCTGAGGATTGCACTCCGATAGACGTTTCTTTGTGAAACTATTTTTTTTTTAAGTTGCACTTAGCCAAAGAGTTATTTTTATTTCATTTCTTTATTAATTTAACTTTTAAAAATACAACACAACCATTTCAAAATGATACCAGCACTCTTTACGTCACCCCGCCATTCCTGTGTTGAAGTCCTCTTGCCTTTGCTGTGCGCAAATGCAGTGTCAACATCATCAACTACATATGCACAATACTCCTATTACCACTATTACTACTATTACTACTACTAATACTAAATCTCTTTACTACTCACTCAGTTTCAAGTAGCATTGCATGTAGAACTCATCGCCCAGCATGGTGTTTAGCAGACCCATAATGCCCTGCGGGAATTCGGTAATGAGGAAGAGCAATAAAACGGCCAACAGCATGCGTGTCGTTCGATCCGTTTGCTTCTCCTTCTCCAACGTTTTGCTATTCTTACGCGGTCGCTGCTCCAACACCTTCCCATTCACGATGGGCTTCATGCCGTTCGCCGCATTGCTGGTCAACATTTTGCGCCGTCTTTTGGCTTCCAACAGCGCGACTATCAAACGCACCGAGAGTATCGTCAGCGCAATGCACGGTATCAGCTTGATGAGCACGCTGTAGATGAGGAAGGTTGTGTAGAGTAGAGATTTGTTGTGCAACGCCAAATCGCTGTGATACAGTCGATAGACCGTAATGTTGTGATGTGGCAGTTGCCATGGTGATTGTGTTAGTACTTCTTGTTGTTGCAGTTGTTGTATTGTAGTTGCAATCATCGTGTTCGTTGTTGTTGTCGTGGCACTAGTTGTCGCTAGCATGCCATCCACTATATCACTCACATTCCACGTGCCAGCCAACGTCGTCACAGTCTCGTTGAACGCGGACACATTGGTCACCGCCAAAGCAGATGCTGCAACCTGAGCTGCCGCTGCTGTCGCCGTCGCCTGCAGTTGCGTTTGATTTGCCATCTCATTATGATAATCGATTATGTATTGAGTCAATGGCTCAGAGTATACTATTTTGCCATGACCGTCTACGGTTTCGAGAAACTCTACGATGGCCGTAACCAAGTAGAAGGATGGCGATACGACCAGAATGCAGACAATGTATGCGGTGAAGATGGTGTACATTGTCGTGCGCATGCCACACCAAATGCTATTCTTTTGCGGATAACCAACGGCTATGTAACGCCACACAGCCAACGTAACGGTCAGCCATATGCTGATGGTGTGCAAGACTTGCGGAAATATTGAATGGAATTTAATGAAGCAGGCCCAGGCATAGCTGAGGCGTTGTTCGCGTGGCAGTCGTTGCGCGAGTATGTAGTCGTGTGTGGTGTAGGGTATATACTCGAGCATGACGGCGAGATCGGCCACTGCGAGGCCGGTGAGTATGGCATTGGTGGGTGAGCGCATCTCTTTGCGTGTCAGCACGATGATGTTTAGGGTGTTGGCGACGGTGCCGAGTATGCAGACGATGAGCGAGACGTAGCCATGCCAAATTTTGTAGCTGAAAAGAGAAGAAAACGGATTTGAAGACATGGTAAAATTAAGTATTTAAGAAACAATTGCGCAAACTTGTCCTTTAAGGAAAAATGAGGATATGTAAATATCTGCATTTATTCTATTCTGATTTTATAGAATAGAATTCACAAGCATAAAAAACCTGAAGGTGTTCTCCAAAAATGCTATGAACTGACTACGAAGCGAATGGTCTCGTTACCTACAGCAGCAGGTTTTTGGCATCCCAGCTGACCAGGATATATATGACCAAGTGCTATCAATTTCTCGTCGAGTAACCCCGATTGTTTTAACTAATGCATTAAAGAAGAAAAATCTTGCAGATCTTGGATTGGTCGAACTCATTCTGATCCGTGCTGACATTGAGCCAAACTCCGAGCTGTTGGTACACTTCTACTGAGTTTGCCCCAGACGACTCAGCCATATCTTTTCCCTACGTAGATCAGATGCTTCCCGCACAAAAGTTGGAGTAAGCTTGTCCTGACTTGTCTTTCAACTAACACCCACCATGTGCAACCATCTCTGCACTTTTACAGTCCAATGGACTACTCTGCAAAATGACATGACAATCTCCTTCTATGTCACTTCCAAGATATAATTACAGTTCATTTCGAGATGAGGCCCCTCAGCACCACGTTTTACTTCACACTTTCCGTGGGATGTAATGCTGTGTATTCAAACTTCAGGGCATGAAGTTGCAGTATACTCAGTTCCTACTCTTGTGCCCACTTCGCGCACCCTGGCAACGTGAGCAACCCTTGTGCAAATTGCGTTAACTAACCCGTGTAGAGCCTTGGGTCACGGTTAAAAAACAGAAAACCGCAGTAGAGCAATTTCGATTCCTTCGGCTTAAGGGCTCGCTGCAGTCTAAATGCAGCATCTGTCCACAAAAGGTACGGCTGCAGGCGGTTGTCGGTCTTGAAATGTGTAAAAATATTAGACTCACTCGGCTAGTGAGGTTCTGTGCTGGGCTTGGGATCTGCCATATAGAAATGACCTTCAATGAGATATGACGACCACTGCAAATGAATGAAGGCGCACAATTTGAGGGCATGTACCTGGAAGGTCCGCTCTCTTTATTGAGAAGGTGCCGCTGAACAGTTAGTCTAAGTCTTCGCAAGAATAAAGACTGACTTTTCTGCCGACCAAGAGGTGCGATGGATAGGACAACAAAGGAAACCATATTATGGAGCGCAAATTTGATGTCCGCGGATGAACGTCTCGAGACAATCCATATCCGTGGACCGGCTGAAGAGAAGGATGATATGGCCCCTCGGCCTTTTATGAGAGCTGTCATGTGAAAATCGTGCTTGGCGACTTTAATGTCTGAGAGGGAAAAGAGGGTATCTGCGGCAAAACTGTCTAAAAATTCAGCCTCACATCGAAAAATGCTATCGATGCAGTACCAGCCGGTGGAAGGCGAGGAAAATCTACTTCGTTGGGCCCTGCACTTTGGATTTCCAATTAGTACCAAACTGCGAAAGGAGGGACTGCATGGCGGAATGTTTTTAACTCCACTGTAATCATGTAAGCGGCGTGTACGCCAGTAAGGAAGAAGAATAAGATTTCTGTTACGAGAATCGGTCAGGCCGGAATAAATCGGAATGCAGCTTCACTCGCAGATAGATTGAGATTAAGCTATACAAATACCGGTTTAAAATTAAATTATGCATTTAATTAATAAAAAAAGATAGATTTATGTGAATTTTACAAAATAATAGTTCCTTTTTTCAGAGTGCAACATCTATGTGAGTGTAAATGTGTTTCAAAATAGATATGTATTAACGAATAATAACTGTAACTTTGACAAAACACATAATACTCCAACTATTTAGTGTCCCTGACAGCTTTTCCTATTCCATTTATTAATTCTACGTGGCGCGGCATATGGATTTCAGTACACGAACGAGTAGACGCCACCGATGCCACGGCAAGCACATTTGCGGTTCGTTAATTGCTTCCGTTGCTACACATAACACATACACGCAAGCTCATATTACAACGACGCATGTTTTTGGCGTGTGTGTATGCTTATAACTGAATATGATTGTGTGGGTGTTGCGTACGGACGTAAAATTACAGTGAGAAGTACGAAAAGCACTCCCGTGGCGCTGCTGGCTTTGCCTTGCCAACGACTCACAGTCGTTTACGCTCGTACAACTACTCATGTGTATGTTTTTGAGTGTGTTAGTGCGCTTTGCATTATTATTGTGGTGCGCGTTGGTGATGACATTTAATGTCTACATTAATGTGTTTGGCATTGTAAAAATGTGTATGAAGGGTATGAGCATATTTGTATTTTTGTATTAATGTTTGAATGTATTTATTTCAGTTGGAGTGGGAATATTCGCTATTTCTTGTCATGTTCGTGCTAATGCAATTTCCCAGCTTTACTTTATGTTCTATTTACGCATTTATGCGAGCATGCTGCGTGCATATTGTCTGTCAAAGCAGATGGTAATGTGTTTCTCTTTGGTTTGCTATTTGAAATTTTCGCGATTGTCGCGCACGGCAAGCAGCATCATTTAAATTAATTACACTCGTATAAATGTTGAGGCGTATAAACACGTTTATATGTGTTTTGGTGTAGGTGATTGCTAAAAGTGTGAATATAATGTGGTGTCACTTATGATTTGATACATTAAATAATTAAAAAAATAATTGTATATTTTCCGATTTGTTAGGTTAAATTGAAGAATTGACTTAAAATTGAATACAATTTTGCAGAAAATGAATGAGGGAATAGGTTTTAATGCTATAAACAAATGAACCTAAACATGTTTAGTCACCAGAAAGTAATAAAAATCGGAAAATTTCATCGTATTTGCCTCTCAAAACAATTTTTATGATATCAGTATTAAAAGAAATTAATAAGAAATACCATGAATTTGATATGATGATTACAGATATACAATTTTGGCGGGTCATCTTTCTTATATTTTATAATATTTTACTTGACTTTAATTACATTTCTTTTATTCTATCTTACTTTACTTTATTTTATGTAATTTTTGTTTATTTAAATTTATTTTATTATGCTTCCGCCGTTTTCCGATAGGTGGCTGTACCGGCTGAGGCTGGTTGAAATACATAGATGATAATGCCTTTAAAGTGAGTGTGGACAGTGCCTAACGAATGTCATCGCCGTATCAGTGACAGTTGTTCTTGTTTTCGTATTATTCACGCTCGGAAATGTCCGTTTATGTGCCTAATTCTCGCCATTTTCGGGAAGTTTTGCTTTTCTGTTACAATTCGAAAAATTTGAAGCGCATCGAATGCTCTCAAAAACTTACGGTGAAGCTGCTCTGAGTGAAGGAATGTGTCGGAAGTGGTTTCAACGATTTAAAAATGGTGGTTTCGATGTCGATTACAAACATGGTGGTGTAAGAGAAAAAACCTTCAAATATTTACTACCAGCTCATAAAACCGGGTGAAACCATCAACGACCGCAACTGATGCACCTTAGTCGGGCGCTAAAAGAAAAGCGGCCACAATATCAAGAGCGATGAGACAAAGTCCTCCAACACGACACGACAATGCTCGGCTTCACGTCGCAAAAGTGGTCAAAAAGTACCTGGAAACGCTGAAATGGGAAGTCTTACCCCACCCGCCGTATTCCCCAGATGTCGCCCCTTCTGACTTCCACCTTTCCGTTCGATGGCACACGGCCTGGCAGATCAACATTTTCAATGCTTCGAAGAATTGAAAAAATGGATTGCTTCATGGATAGCATCAAAAGAGGACTCCTTTTTTCGAGCCGGGATCCGAAAATTGCGGGAAAGATGGGAGAAAGTTGTCGCTAGCGAAGGACTATACTTTGAATAATATAACTGTAAGCACTTTTTCGCAATAAAGCTTTTAATTTTGGAAAAAAAGCGGAAGCAAAATTGTACACCGAAATTTAGTTTTCTTTTATTTTGTTTTAATTTATTTTAACTTAATTTATTTGATATTTGTATTTTTTTATTCTCTTTTTTTCTCTCATTTTATTTTATTTTACTTTATTTTTATTTATTTTATTTTGTTCTATTTTAATTTTTTTTTATACCTTACTATACTTTGTTTTATTTTGCTTTTGTTTTTGTTTATTTGGTTTTATTTTATTTTTGTTTATTTTATTTCATTTATTTCCTTTTTTTATATTTGTTTTATTTGATCTTAAATGTTGTTTTTTTTATCTGACTATAATTTTTTTTATTGCATTTTATTTTATTTTATTTTATTTTTTACTAATTTTTTTATTTCCTTTTTATTTGATTCTCTTTTATTTTAAATATTTTTTTATCTAACTTTACCATATTTTATTTTATTTTGTTTATTTAATTTTTGATCTTTTATTTGTTTATTTTTTTTTAATTATATTGTTTTATTCTATTTAATTCAATTTAATATAATTTAATTTAACTGTGTATTATTTTATTTTGTTTTATTTTATTTTATTTCATTTGAGTATCTTGAATTCAATATAATTTATTTGGTTTTTGTTTTATCTTAGTTCAGCTGTTTTGATTTTCCTTAACTTTTTTAAATATTGTTTGTATTTAATCATAGTTTTTTAATTTATTCATTTTATTTGATTTTATATTATTTATTTTTGTTGTATTTATTTTTTTATATTTTAAATTATATATTAAATTTTAATGTTTTTACCTTGTTTAATTTAATTTCAAAGCCTTTTTATTTTAGTTTATTTTTATGAATATTATTTTGTTTGTTTTTTATTGAATTCATTGTTTTTATAATAACACTTTTTTCAATTAGTTTAATTTATTTAAATTTGGTTACTTTTTTATTCTATTTTATTGAATTTTAGTTTGTTTGATTTTGTTTAGTTAATTTAATTACTTTCTTTTTTATTTAATATAGCTTAGTTTAACTATTTTGGTTTAATAGTGTTCTTCAATTTTATTTACTTTTGTTTGATTTAATTTTATTAATTTTAATTTATTATTCTGCTCCACTGCTCTTTAGATTCTACTAACACTCATGTGCGCTTTTTAGCTTATTAATACATACTCATACGCAGATATATTTACCTTGTGTGAAAATTGTCAAGGCCGCTGCCACAGTAGATCGGTTGGGATTCATTGGTGGCCATTATGTTGTTATCGCAATTAATTTTCTATATTTTTGAGAATCAGAGGTAGCAAGCTTTGCTTTGATTCAACCACCGAAACTGTTGTTGTTGTTGTTTGTTGGCGTGGTTGATGCATTTATGTTAGTTAAAACTACGCTTTTGCGACTTATTACAATATAGTATACAAGCAGTGTTTTCTGTGGTTTTGCGGTGTCGGTTTGGGTGCAATTTAATGTGGTTTTCACTTCAAAATGCTGAAAAGAAGGACAAACACATTATATGTGATATGAAAGATATATATTATTTGTTGAGTATTTTACAAGTCTAAAAAAGTAAATATGAGTAAAAAATTTTAGGTATTTTAATTAACTCATGTTTTTTTGGATAATACTATTTAAAATCATTGTGCTGACCTCAGCAAAGGCTGGCAGAGTAAGTTAGTAAATATATATCTGTTTATCCGCTGAAATGTTTGCTGGTATACATAGAAGGAAGTGCCGTAATATAGTAATGTACCCATATGGAGCTGCAGGGCGCATGAGCAACATTTTGGCGCCCTTCAATGAAGTGATATAAAATGATGTAATTTTTTTTCTTTACAGAGACTTTAAGTAAAATTCGGTAGGTGTAACTATATTGAATAGCTTGTGGAGCTCTTTAAATTTTTTCAAGAGTTTTTTACTCAAAAAAAAATACACTTCTTAAGTCAGCAACGTATCTTAAATACATTAATATTCACAATTAAACCTTAAGGCCATTCAATTAGAAAACCTCCATCATATGTACGGCTGCAATTTAAATTCAAATAAATATTGATGTTCAATAAATAAATAAATACCAGAATTAGAAATTTTCAAACTTCCATCGATTTGTATTCAGTGCCTCAAAAATGCGCTGCTTATCATTCGACCTTTTAATGCTATAAAATATGCTAATGAAAACGCATTAAGACGGACTAAATTCGCATTTAAAGTTTGATATATTTTCACTGATAACGAACGAATATCTGTCAATAGACATTGAAACTCAATGAGTCTCAACTAATTTTCGTGTGAACCGTAAGGACGGTTGAGAGTTTATCAGGCGAAAGCAGGCAAAAAAAAAAATAATAGTAATAATAATAAAATATAAACAAAAGTCAATAAAAAAAATAAAGCAAAACAACTGAAGGAAACAGAAAATGGTATAAAAAAGAAAACAGAAAATGGTATTGAAAAAAAAATTTTGTGAAGGACATGTATTATAAGAGAAAAATAAAAAGTTATTCGATACAAGAATTGGAGACAATTCCGTAGCGTATAAAAAAATAATAGATAATAACAAATATTAAATGAGTATAAATCTTTGAGCGGAGAATGAGTAGATTCAGTGGCTTTAGTAGATTTCCACACTCCACAGCTCAACAATATGCGGCGTTGCGTGCTCAATGATAAAATGTTACTTTCATGTTTCATTGGCAATTCAAATACCGTATAATGTGAGATAAAAGTAGGAAAATGATTGTACAACAAAAACAAATATAAGAAATGTTTGCGATACTGAAGCTAAGCTATGAATAAAATGGTAACAAAAACAATTCATGATATAAGGAGAATATCTCTTGACGCAAGTGACTAAAGATTAATTTTAATAAATACAATTTTGTAAATATTTTTGAACACTGCAAAGGTTTATGCTGAAAAGAAATCAACTAAAGTTTAAAAAATATAATGGTACATAAACTAATTGAACTTTTTTTTGTTTAGGTATAGTTAGCAGAGGATTTTATTACTTTACAGCTTAAATTTGTTAAGAAATCATTGTTGTGTAATTTTTTTTTTTTTTTAATATGTTTCTATTATTGATTTATATTCATTTAAGGCACTTCAGTGCCAAATTATAGTTAAGTTTACCGCTATATGAATTTCAGTCCCATAAGAATACACTTGAAGCCAGTAGAGCTTTTAAAAAGTTGTGTATGCCTGACTACAAAAACGTTATAGTGCCAGATGGAAGTATGTTTTATTGCAACTATAACAGTCATCGTACGTCCTTCATGTAGCTCAGAAGTTCTTTTAAGGTCTCCTCCAGTCCTTCGAACGAGTTCCGGCTAAGGTTGAACAGAAACAGAAGTGATGTACTCACTCATGCCTTTCTCCCCCGCTCTCATGGGATGTCAGTAGGCCAACAACTGAACTGCTGTCCTCCCTCTAATTGGTAAGCAAGAATTGGGTATATCCCTTGTTTTTAATATATTAGATCTATTAGAAGTTTCATTATTAATAATTTTCAACGTCTTTGGCAATATCATCAGTTTATTTCGTTACCTTTAATGCCCTTGAGGCATGGAACACAGTACGGCCATTTATTATCCTGCGCCTATTCTATCGCGCCAAGTTTTACAGCTGCATAATATCTGATGAGGAAACGTGAAGGTTTCCAAAATAGCAGTTATAACTTCTACCATCGAAAACTGTGGTTTTCATTTTTTCACTATTACCCAAAAATATATGGTCTGTGACAGTTCCATAAAATGTAAAACCCCAGAAACAATTCAACAGAATTATAAGTTTAAAAAGCATATTGTTATTTTGTTTATGGTATTCTATATAAGTGGCTTTCTCAGCGGATTTCCTTAGCGAAGACCCCCACCTCAAAAATCCTGCAGTAATCTTGAAATTTAAAGGGTTGTCTGTGCGCAAGCTCCACGCTATAAGCTCCAACGCTCACTCCATTTGCCATTTTTGAACCTCCCGTGTAGATTTTATACCTTCCACTAACGTCACATATTCTTGCGCCATCCGTCCTGCTTAAACGTAGCTTGAAGTCCTCTATCCCAGCTTAAGCGCGGGAGTATGCAGTATATTTTCTCCTACATCTCTCTCAATATCGAGCTGTGCCTGAAGTTTTAAGCGGCGCATGCAATTAAGCCCACCAATCTCCTGGCTGATTTCGCTGCAAAGCACTCCAATGCAATGTTGATTGATGCCAGGTCAAGTAACTACTCAAGTGCTGCCGTTGGAGTGGTCCTTTGCGCCTCTGTTAAGCAGTAGTTTTCCCTACAAAGGACGCTTATCCTGCACGAAAGTCACTACACATTAAAGTAGAGTGGTTTAGCGTCGATTAAATTAGCTGCAAGCCCAATAAAGTAATAGTATATATGAATAAATATATTCGTACTATTCATAACGATATTTCATATTTTTACTGCATGCGTATGTATGTGGTGGTCATGTAACGCCCATAAATGCTTTAGGCTATGAAATGCCAGCACTTTTACACTTCATTAAATATATAGCAAAAGTCAACAAAAGCGCTTACATGCATTTAAACACTCTAATATATATAAATATACACATATACATAAATGTGCACATACATACATACATACATACTATACTGCTAAATAAATACAGCAATAAATATTAACTATACAGAAATTTAACAATGAACAACAAAAGCCACTTAATAGCAAACATCAAGTGTTTTATATATACATCGTATAAATATATATATGTACTTGCATTTAACACAATAAATATAATATGTATTTGTATTCGGAAGGAAGAGCCAAAGTAATTAAACTTGAACTTGAACTCAATTTTCTGTCTGAATGCTCAACTAACAGCGAGGTCTGTGGCCAATCATTTTGCCTAATACATATATATTTATATATATATACATGTACATATACTTATGTTTGCCTTACTGTTTTTGCGCTTATTTTTGTTTGTTTATATTATATGTATATAAACGTATACATATGTATGTATGCACTAGCATTTGTTTACTAACCGCATATTTATCGAGTAATCGCTGGCAAATTCAGTCAGTCATGTCGGCAAACAAGCAAATTAACAACATTAGTACTTTTGAGATCATCACAAATAAAGTATGTTGATATAAAGGGTTTTCCAATAGGGACGATATGACTTCTAAGTGTCGTTTTGGCCAGTTTTATTATGTCATGATAGTTTTTTTTCTATTGTATTCAGTAAAGTTTACAATTTCAAAGGGGTTAGAAAAACGTTTACAAACAACAACAATAACTTGAAAATGATACAAATTTTTTGAAGAAAATCAACTTCTATGCTGAGGCTCAGTTTCAGCTGAATGGTGCGGTAAATGAACAAACCTGTCAATTTTGGTGGGAAAGAAAATCCACAAATTATTCATTACATTCACCTCAATTGACAGTTTGGTAGGGTTTTTGGTGTAGTGGAATCAGGGGTCGGTACTTATTTCGAAATATAGCTGGTGGCACCGTTAATGTTAGTGGATCGCTGACAACCAACTTATTGTGGCCACAATTGGAGGAAGTTGATTTTAACAACATCTGGTCCCGACAAGACGGGGCTACGTATCACACAGCACGTACAACAACCGAATTATAGCGAGAAAGGTTTGGAGATTCGATAATTTCAAGAGATTAAGACATTGAATGTCCTCCAAGAAGTTATGACTTAACACCATTAGACTACTACTTATGGAGTTATTGAAGTCTTTAGCAATAAAGCAGACGCCCTTCAAGATTTGAAAGTCAATATTGAACGTGCATGACATGACATACGACTTGAATCGGTGTTGAAAGTGCTCAAAAATTGGGTTCATCGAATTTGTTTCTGCAAAAGAAGTCGTGGAGGCCATTTGAATTATTTCATATTCAGAACTTGTATTGATTATGCTGCCCACTAAATAAAAAAAAAACATCTGAATTTCCTTAACAATTCGTGTGTTTTTTTTTTTCAGAGAAATCATATCACCCTTATTGGAAAACCCGCCATATTTATATATATTATTTATATTTATATAATATATAGATTCATAAGCTAAACGGAAGAAAAGGTAGGAGTAACACTTTTTAAGTTCATTTCTTAATTTATATAATTATTTTTATTTTTTTTTGTTGTAAACGTTTATTCTTTTTAATTTTTTAATTGCAATTAATTTTCGACGGACCAAATTAACGAATGTGCAGAATTGTATGTTTTCGTAAACATTTTTATTTTCATTAAATCGATTTCCTGTTAAATTTGGCATAAAAAAATTAAAATAATAAAAATTAATTTAATGAAAGAATTTTATAAAAAAAAAAAAATTAATAATTTTTCGTATAAAATTATTTTATTTCAATTTTTATTACACCTCAATATTTAAACATGAAATTCTTCCACTAAAATCGTGATAAATGCCAAAGTTAAATATTCGCTTCCCATCAAAACTATTAAAATTTGAGTTGCGTGGTTTTTATGTTTAATGGTTTGATAAAAAACAT